AACTACAGCAAACTGAGGCTGCCAGCATTGTGGAAGCAGCCACTTAAAGAACTGAGCTAGGGCTGGGCCCCCTGCCTTAACTTCTTGAGGAACTGGGATTATGCGTGTGTCACCAAACCCAGATTGGATTATCATTGCTAGTTCTAAGGCTGTGTGATTGTAGGAGGTGGCTTTGGTGCCAGGCAAAACCCAAGGCCTCAGACCTGCTAGGCCAGCATCTACCATTGAGCTCCGTCCTGAGCAGGCTGTGTTACTAACAGGCTCAGTAACAGTTTTGTGGTTCCAGCATAAGCATAGGTCATAATGCCAGAGACACAGCCCAGTGGCATAAGTGTCTGACTGGCATATGCAAGGTCCCAAGTTCAATCCCTGGTACCAAAAAAAAAAAGAAGAAGAAGAAGAAAGACTATCACAGGGAGCCACTGTTCTCCTTTCATTTGGCAGATGAGAATGTGCCTTGATTTCTTCCCATATGCTTGAAATGATTTTTGGTGTGTGGACGAAGGAAGTGACAGTGCCCCTTCCTCACTGCTCCGTGACTCCTGGACCCTCATCTGGTTGAAGTTTATTTTGGCCGTGTCCACACTGGAAGCCCCAGGGCTTACTGAATGGGGATGAAGACAAATAGAGTAGGCTTTTTTTGGCTGGCTCCGAATGCTTTCAGGGCAGGTTTGGCTGGCTTGAGTTCTGGGGATTGAACCACAGCAACCTGAGCCTGACTGCTTTGTTGCAGCAGCCACTTAAAGAACTGAGCTAAGGGGCAGGCCCTCACAAATACAGAGTAAATCCTAGCAGACCATCCAGAGCCCAAGCTGGAAGCCAGTGCGGACATGTGTGTCAGCTACCAGCTACTCCACCCCCGCCCTAGCCCGCGCTGGGAAGTGCTGACTGTCCTCTGCTTTATCTGTGCCCTGGAGCTGTGATGGGGGTGGGCTTCCAGGCCCCCAGGAAGATCCAGCTCAGCAAAAGGGAATGGAGTGAGACAAAGGATGAAGGGCTGAGGGGCGTGAACCTGGGAACTGCGGCTGAGCCGTGTTCCTCTCCTGATGACCCTACTCTGGTCTGTTTGAAAGCTGGATCTCTTGGTCTTACCTAGTGGGAATGTTGAATTAAATATCATACCACTCTGTAATTTTTCAGAAAAGTGACATTTAGCATTTTTACCAATGGCTGTAGCTTTGCAAGTTAAGATTTCTTGAATATAAGATTTTTGCATTGAAATTAAAATGATTTAGCCTGAAGAGTCATACTTACTAGTGTTTTGTGCTGTTTTGCTTTTGCACTGGGGACTGAATTTGGGATTTGGCACTGAACTCTATCCCTAGCCCATTTCATTTTTTAATTTTTTGAGATAGGAACTTGTTAGGTTGCTAAATTGCCCAGGCTGGCCTCCAACTTGTGATCCTCATTGGCTGAGAATACAGGTGTGTCATCATGTGCTGACTTCTAGGTCCCTTGAGGCTGTTCCCTTCTTTGTTTTTTGTAGTACAGGGATCCAACTAGGGACCTTGCGCTTGCCAGGCAGGCACTCACACCGCTGAGCTATCTCCGCAGCCCGAGACTGTTTCTTTGTATGACAGAAAATTCTAACAACCCCAGCACGAGTTCCAGTCTGAGAACTACAGGTCTCTCGCAGTGCACTGAGAACAGCCTCATCGTGGAGCCTGCAGACCTTCCCCTGCTTCCCCTGAGCTTTCTCTGCCAACAGGACGCACTGATCAAGATGTCCTTCAGTGGGCTTGGAGCCGGGGGACCCAGCCCTGAGCCCTGCTGCTGTGGGTGGTACGGAAGTATGTGAGCGGCCACCAACGCCCCAGTTGCAGACCAGGCAGCTGGCTGAGTCACCCAACTGTGCAGTGCAGCCCCTGCCATCTGTCACCCAGCACCCTTCCTCTGCCCTGCCCCCCACCACTGAGGTTCCCACGCCCTGCTCCCAATCTGCTCGGGCAAATGTGTCTTCCTTGCGAGAGAAGCAGCACTTCATGTGGAAAAAGATGCCAGGAGAAAGAATGCACACCGGAAACACCGCCTTATCTTTAGCAACTTTGTTTGGTTAGTACTGCAAAACGCACTGCAGATTCCAAGGCACGCTGCCCTCCACGCTGCCACCCGCTCCGGGAGGTTGGGAACAAGTGCTGCTCTTGAGGACGACCCCCCATCTCTGGTGGAGGGCTGTCATTTATGTCCTGTGCTTCAGGTCTCCATGGGGGAAGCTCTGCCTTTGACTTCAGAGGCCCTGCTGTCCATCGATATGTCCTATCTGATCAGCTACCACAATTTTTCCTTTTGAGACAGGATTTCACTATGGAGTTCAGGCTAGCCTTGAACTCACTATGTAGCCCAAGTTGGCCTAAAGGCACACGATCCTCCTGCCTCAGCCTCCTGAATGCTGAGGTCACCGGTGTGTACCGTGGCACCCACCATATTGGCATGCTTTTACAAGAAGCTGTCTCCCACGGAAGTATGACAAGATAGTAAAAACCTTTACACCTAGCATTTGATGCAAAGTCAGTCAAATGGCAATTACAGTGATAAGTGATGTATTTGGCTTGAAGAAGCTTGTTACTAAAAGTAGTGGGAAAATCTGGCCTCAGTCAGTGGGATTATTAAATATATATCCTAAGGGTAGAGTCATCTATTAGAAACAGTAACAGCCCTGGGTATAAATAAACATTTCTTTAGAGTTTGGCATCAGTTTCTCATGTCCATTCTCGAAGCAGAGTGTCCCCTAGGGGCCGGCTTCGAGGGTGCGGCCCTGGGCATGCTCGACGTGAGGGCCGCGGTCACAGGTGCTGTAGGGCCTCCTGCCCCTGCTCCGTGTAGCTGTCGTCACGGTGGGTGTTCGCCCACTGGCCGAAGGACTCGTGGATGTGCACATTTCTCTGCATGTTGGCCAGCCGCTTCTTGTCTCGGGAGAAGAAGCTAAACCTTTGGGAAGGAAGAGACGGAAATGAGCGCGGAGGCTGTGCTGGGCATCCATCTGTTTGCTACGCCAGGGACATGGCAGCCAGCGAGGGAGCAGGGCCACGCAGGTGCGGAAGGACACGTCACACAGCATGGCGGAGGGCACTGGAAAGAGCCAGGGCCTTCTGTAGTCATCGGCCTTGGCATGCTGGGGTCACACGCATGAGCGGGGTGTGCATGCACGCGTGTGACATGAGGGCTACTCTGCCTGGGCCGCTACTGAGGGTCCTGCCTGGGACCCATGGGGACAAAAAGCCCCCAGAAACAGGTCATGAGTTTCTTTAATTTTAGGGTACAGGTGATGAAAACTTGTTAGGCTACTGTTCTGCCATGAGGCCACATCCCAGGACTTTCTCTTTTTCTTCTTTTGGACTTTCTGAAACAGAGTCTCACTGTGCAGCTCAGGCTGGCTTTGAGCTCGCTTTGTAGCCCAGGCTGGGCTTGAACTTGCAAGGACCCTCCTGGGATTACAGGCGTGCGCCGCACTCCCAGCTAGCCCAGGACTCTAATTCCCTAACGTTGAGAGAGGAGCACTTGAAAGCAGGTGGAACCTAAAGCCCAGAGTATCCCCAGTGTAAACAGGTCCGCATTTGTGGACTGTCAACTGGGACACTGCAAGCAGCGCACCACAGGCCACGGGTCATGGATTATTGCTTAGGAGGAAGTTACTGTAGGTAGGTAAAAAATGTAATAAGTAATATTAAGAACTGGCTCAATAGCTGGGCATGGTGGTGCACACCTATCATCCTAGCACTTGGGAGGCTGAGCCAAGAGGATCGTTGTGAGTTCGAGACTAGCCTGGGCTACCAAGTGAGCTCAAAGCCAGCCTGAGTTGTACACTGTGACCCTGTTTCAAAAAGACGAATAAATAAATAAATAATCCCCTGGATAAAGCGGGTGGGTGCAATATGGAGATATTCACATCAGACTTCCAAAAATGGGTTTAATGGTGAAGCCTCTGGTGTTTATTTCTGTAACCAGTTACGCAGTAAAAGCTAATGAAGACCAAAGGTGTCTTTGTTTGGGGTTTTTTTGGTGCTGCTGGGCATAGAACCTGTGCTGTGTACAGCTAGGCAAGTGCTCTATCACTGAGCTAGGTCCTCAGCCCCTAGGAAGTCTACTTAGTTATTTTGAGGCAGGGTCTCACTATGTGGCTTACAGGGGTCTTGAACTCTCAGCTATCCTGCTCAGCCTCCCGAGTGCTGAGGTCACAGGCATGTACCACACGCCCCACTCCTCCACGTGCTTTTAAACTGCTATGCGTACTGTGCAGGGTGAACTGTCAGGCGGACGCCTCAGCGATCAGAACAAAGCTTACAGAGCAGTCCGTTCAGAACAAGTCTGGCGTCCCGACCACATAGAGGGAGACTTGGGCCGGCCACACGCTGGACTTCGCCAGCCATGAGGGCCTCCCGAGAGCTCTCTCTAAGCTGCCAAATCTCTTTCGATACTACCAGGCTCGGCTAAGGCACCTTCTGTTCTCACCAAGGTCTTACTCTTCAATTTCGGTTTCTGAACTTGGTAAGAGAGGAGCTGAGAGAACGGCTCCTTTGTGTTTCCAGGGGAGCCGCTGAGATACCTGATCTTCACATGCACTATTTTTGGCTCCCTCTCTCCACTGGCCTGTCTTTTAGTGCAGTGGCCTATGGAAGTGTTTTAATCACATATGGGTGAAAATAATTTCATGCTCCCATGCTTCCAGGACCTACCATCACCTTCCCCCAGGAAGGCAGTGCTCATCACAGAACTCCAGGGCAACCCAGGGGATCCAGGAAAATTAATGCTCCCTAGCATGAAGGCACTGTGCTCTCGGGCAGACACAGCGGGAGCCGGACCAGGCAGGACATCCCTCCTGGCTGACTTGGGAGCTCTCTCCACAGGGAGAGAGGCAGGCAGGGCAAGCAGCCAGCCAGAACAGCGGCTCCTGGGGTTACGCTGCCCCACATGCCCCCCCGCTGCTCTCCCTGCTTTTCCCTTTGCAGCCACATCAAACCAAACGGCTGCCTGGCTAGGGCCTGGCAAGACAAAGCAGTTTAGAAAGCTCTGGCGTGGCGTGAAGATCCAAACATGGAGTTAGTGTCACGCAGGGACGGAGGTGGGCGTTGGTTACTGACCCGTCGCCTAAAGGACCTTCTTTACTGGATCGTGGGCAAGGTGGTTTTTAGAACGGAAACAAAAGAAACAAAAAGAATTATCGGTGACAGAGCCGAGGCCCTCGACAAGGAACTTGACACCCACTCCAGATGCCAGCACGCAGGCGACAGCCATGCAGCTTCCAGAGGCCAGAGGAGCCAGGCCGGCCCCAGCGGGAGCCGCAGCAACACCGCCAAGGCACAGTGCAAACGGAAGCCCAAACACACACAGTGCCTACAAGGGAAACGAGTCGTCGCACAGGCTGCAGCGTGGGGTCATCGAGCAGCAATCCAGCTGCCACCATGGGCATTATGGCTGTAAAGATCCTGGTTAGGGAAGTACAGACAGACACAGAGAAGATAAAAAAGGAGACAGGACAGATGTCCACTCCACGGATGGTCCAGCCGAGTCCCACGAGTCCCACTGCTGGTCCTCGTCACAAGCCCACCTGCATGCCTTCCCCCAAATCTAGTTGAAGTCCCAACCCACAGCAGCTCAGGGCATCATCTCCTACAGACACAGGGTCCCTCCACATGGCCCCAGTTAGGGGAGGGCAGCTCTAGCCCAATGGGAAAAGGGAGACCATGAACAGGGACGCACGCCAAGGGAAGGGCCACCTGCCATGTGGTGCTGAGGCAGGCAGTGGGGATGCTTCCATAGGACAAAGTCCGTCACCAAGGAAAGAGGCCTCAGGGTTTGTGGGGGCCGAGGCTCCCTTGGGGGACTCACCCTGCTGAACTTGACCTTCGGCCTGCAGAACTGCGGGACCATTCATCATGACTATTTAAGTGTTATCCTCTGTGGCGCTTTGGAACATATGCTGTGTGCTGGCCATGGAAGGAACCCAGCAGCCCTCAGCGGCTGGGAACGCAGACCCAGGAGTTGGATGTGCTTTGGGGCTTGTGGGACCCCCTTCTTAGCTCCAGCTCTGCCACGGCATGCAAGATGCGTGCTCACAGCAGCCAGGTGACAGGTAGGAGTGGACATGGACCAAAGCAGAAGCTGTGTCACTTTAGCAGGTGTGGCCCTGCCTCTCTTGATAGGTCACGGCTGCCAGTAGCAGGAGCCATAAACATGAGACTACAACCAGGCTTCCCGAGGTTTTTTTTTTTAAGTTATTTTTAAAAAATTTATTTAATTAATATTTGGTGACAGGCTCAGCCCACCCTGGGGGCAGGGCTGGCGCAGTATGTGATGCCTGGGATCAAACTGCAGTCCCTGCGTACGTGCCTGAATTTGCCTAAGCAGGTGCTTTAGACCGCTGAACTATCTCTGTCAGCCTTAAATTATGATTTTTTAAAGTTCAGGGTTTTTTTTTTTGAGATAGGATCTTGGTAGTTAATGCAGGCTGGCCTGGAACTACATAGCCTGGATAGCCTTGACGTTTTGGCAACCTTCCTGCCTCAGCTTCCCAAGTGCTGGGATTACCCTTGTGTACCACCACACCCAGCCATCACTCAGTTATGATTGTTTTTATTATTTATTTAGTGTGTGTGTGGCCAGCTCAGCACACCAAGGGGCGGGGCTGGCTGGCATGTGGTGCTGGGGATTGAACTGCAGTCGCTGCGTTTTTGCTTAGCTTGTTCTAAGTAGGTGCTTTAGACCACTGAGCCATCTCACCAGCCCCAGTTATGATTGTATTTATTTATTTATTTATTTATTTATTTATTTTTTAAAATTTATTTATTTGTGAGTGTGTGTGTGTGTGTGTGTGTGGCCAGCTCAGCCCACCAGGGGACGGACTGGCTGGCATGTGGTGCTGGGGGATTGAACCGTGGTCACCTGTGCTTTGCTAAGTTTGTTCTAAGTAGGTGCTTTAGACCACTGAGCCATCTCACCAGCCCTATGATTGTTTTTAAAAAGGATTACAAAAGCTATAAAATAACTGCTGTTAATGTGGTGGTACCTGCATTGGGATGGCATCCAACACTTCATGCAGGAGCTGGCTGGCAGACCATATGGGTGGTGACAGAGGACACAGGGTACCTTTTGCTAAAGGAACAGGCCTAATCCCCAGAGGCTGGGCTGCCCAGCACAGGTGGCTTTCGAGTCCTTCCAATCCACACTACTGTGCACCCACCTTTGCCAGGACCCAAACAGGCACCCCCAAAGACAGTCACTGCATAGCACCCGGCCCCAGTCAGCAGGGGACAGACATCGGTATGCCTGGCAATGCTGGACTTTATGTAGGGCCCATCAAGGGGCCCACACTGCCAGGTGCCACTAGGCAGAAGCTGCTGCCTGAGGGATGGCCATTCCCACCACAAGGGTTCCACCACGTTTAGGTCTTCAATGCGGGGTAGCTATTTCAACGCCTCCCTCCCCACTGAATATTTCTGGAAGACTCTAACCAAGTACACACGGGGTGGCATTCCTGGCGGTGAGGCGGGCGGCTGGAAACCCTATTTCTGGTAGAAGCGAGGAGGGTGGTAGGTGGGAGGACAGGGACAGAATGCACTGTTGCTGCTACCACTGCGACAGCCGCCCACTCCCAGGCTGGCCTGTCCGGCGAGGAAGGCCTTTCTGAGCCCAAGCTTCCCTGTTCTCTATCTCCACTGCTGTCCTCTGTCCCACTGCCTATACCATCCAGGGGAAGCCACCGTGTGAATGGGACCACGACCAAGAGGAGAGGCGCGGGCTTGCTGGTGCCTGCTGTTTGTGCGGATCAAGGCTGCAGTCAACAGACGCCCGTGTGACCTCCCCAGGCAGTGCCGGCGCACCCTCCCTGGCTGGCTGGTGGCAGCCGGGTCACAAGCTATTCCTGGACCACCTTCAGGCCACTGTTTTGACTGGCAGCAGGAGTCTCTGGTTTCCTGTTGTGTTCAGCCCAGAAATATCCGACGTCAGGCGTCTCTGACTTGGGCATTTGAGAGATAAGGACCCGGGCGGACAGCCCACATCTGCAGACTTGGGGAAGTGGTGAGAAAAGGGAGGCACGGAGGGGAGCCGCGCAGACAAAACGCCCAGCTTCAAGAGCCTGACGGGGCCATCCCGACGGTGGGATCTAAGGGCAGCAGGCTGTGTGCACGCCTGTAGGCCCAGCACCCAGGGGGCTGAGACGGGAAGGTCACTCTGCGTTCTAGGCCAGCCTGGACTGCACGGTGAGATCCTATCTCAAAACACAAAAACCAAGATGCAAGTAGGCCTCAGTTTCCTCATCTGAGAAGGAGATAGTACATGCCAGCTGTTTGCCTCTGCCTGGAAGGTGTCTTACTTCAAGGGCTCGGAGCTGGCGCAGGCCCTTCACACCTCCTTGGGGGCTCTGACCTCATAGACAGGGGATGCAGATGGGGGCACACGGTGGGCTGGTGTAGGGCAGGGAGCCCTGGCACTGAACAGGCTGTGTGAACAACACCCCCAAGGCAAAGACAGAGACCAGAACGACCTTGCGGTACCAGGAGGGGAGGTGTAAAAGCCCAGGGTCCCTCTAGGAACTGTCCCAGGGAATGTGCATCCCTGGCTCCTCCAGCTCTCAGCTCACAGCCACAGCCCCGTCAGCTGCCGAGGGGGACAAAGGCAACCAGTGTCCTGCGGTGCTGGTCAAAAGCCTTTGTGGCTGTGGCACTGGACAGGCCCCGTGCCCCACGGAGGAGGCACTGTCTCGCACTGTCTGTTTCTTTCTCTCTGGTACTATCTTCTGTCCACCCCTTCTGGGCTCCCCAGTTCCAGCTCCTTTCCCTGCTGGGCTCAGAGCATCTAATTTTTGGAGACAGGATCTCACTCTAGTTCAGGCTGGCCTCAAGCTTGCAAGGTAGCCCCCTTGCCTCTGCCTCCTGAATGCTGGGCTTCCAGGAGTGCGTGTGTCACGTGCCAGGCTACACCATGCCAGTGCTTGCCAAGCAACCACAGGGCAGGATAAAGGGGAGGAGGGCTGTGAAGGGAACCATCTGGGGGAGATGGGCTGCACTACAGCTTGGCAGTGTGGGCAGAACTAGTGGGAAGGTTTCTTGGTTAATTTTGCTAACTTTCTTCTGGATTTCGTCTAATTTGGGACTGGCAAAAGCCCATACTTAATTACCTTCTTAGGAGAAGGGCCGGGGCCAGGGAGATAGCTCAGTAGATTAAGCGCTTGTCTGGCAAGTGCAAGGACCTGAGTTCAATCCCCAGTTCCAAAAAAAGGAGAAGGGGCAAATTAAAAAGTCACAAGAAATTCTTTGGATGCATGCTCCAGCTTGGGCACAGGAGGCTCTGTGAATGGGGACCCTTAGGTGCAGGAAAGGTCTGGTGCGTGAAGACCCAGGACGTGTAGCTGAAGAAGGCACAGTGCTTCTCCGTGTCTGGGTGCACTGAAAACTTCTCCAGGGGTAAGGCCCTGAGGGAGCACACGAGATCGAGTCACCTTAGCCGTACATACGAGGGGTCAGCTTATATGCTAGAGCCTGGAGAAGCCCACTCCTATGCAGGACCCCGTTCTTATTTCTCAACGCCCACTGAATGGAGCTAACTTAAGACACTCTAAGCTGGGGGGGGATGATGATGGGATGGGATGGGAAAAAGACCTGCCAATGTGCTGCCTGATGATTGGCTAAGGGGTGGTCATGTGACCCTCTGAGCGCCAATGAGTCTCAGTAGTTTCTCAGGCCCCCTGCGAACACAACCTGAGCCAGAGTTTCTGAGAGCAATGAAAGGGGGCCGCATTGCCTTTTTTAATCCCAGGAACATAAATAACTTAGGAATCAAGTCCCCAGCCAGGACACCACCTCAGTGAAACAACCTGCAAAGTTCTGGTTATTTAGCTAAATTCTTTTTCTTCAGCTCTGTGAGTTTTGATACGAATGGAAGATCGCTAACTAATCCATGGTCAAAATAGTGCTGGAATGGAAAGCAAGCTCTTCTCGGTCCGTGCTGCATCTTTAGGAAATACTGACCTCTAGCTAGAACTGGGACCCTTCGTCCATGTCAGCAGGGACCTAAAGTGAAGCTAATAAGCAACGTGCAGTTGCCAGAAGGCTTGGATGGAAGCTGGGGTTCCCCCCAACACTCCAGGAGTCTCTTACGCCTTCCCTGGGCACCATGTTTCATGAGGAGGGGTCAGCTCGTCCACATCTGTAAGGGCTGTGCTTGTGGCCCCCCACAGGCTGGGAAGCAGCTATGGCTTCTCCAATAGGGTACTGAAAGGGGAGGTGTGTGGGCCACCCCACTTCCTCTCCCCGCGAACCCCAACCCACACCTGTTATCGCGAAACTTCTCTGGGCTTGCAGTAGAGGACCAATGTCCTTCTGCAGTCAGCCAAGGCAGAGCTGGAGGCCTGGGGCCAGGAGGGCCTCTCAGGAGAAACCAGCGATGTGCCTCGGTTTCCTTTACTGTTCAGGAAGAATGCCTGCCCTTCCAGCCCTATGGGGAGGAATGATCGAGATGACCTGCAGGACAGTATCTGGCATTAGAATTTTAAGCTTTCTAACACAGTGTCAGCCCTTTATCCAAAGCCTTTGGGAGTCCATGAACCTCCTGAAACTTCACACGTAATTTTGCATCCCTTTTTCTCCAAGGACAAGGACTGTAATAGTTCATCAGAATTCTGGGGAGGGGAGCCGGGGAGATGGCTCAGTGGAATAAGCGCTTCTCTGGCAAGCGCGAGGACCTGAGTTCAATCCCTGGTTCTGCCAAAAAATAAAAAAATAAAAAATAAATAAATAAATAAATAAGAAGAAGTGTGAGGCTGCATTTGTTAGGGCTGGGGAGATGGCTCAGTAGAATAACCGCTTGCCTGGCAAGCACAAGGGCCTGAGTTCAATCCCCAGTTCCACAAAAAAAAAAAAAAAAAAGTCACTCATGTATCAAAAGAAAAAAGAAAAAAAAATTGTTACTCTCCTACAATCTTGTTTTGAAATTTTATACCACT